AGGGCATTGAATGAATTGAAAATCAAAAGGCGGAAAAGGAAATAATAAAACAATTTGAAGTGAGGTGAAATTCATGAACCAAAACGGAGAAAGTTTGACATGTTACAGCTTTTGTATATATATCTTTGACTTTCACAGCCTTGATTTGGTCGCTTTTCAGGGGTTCTATAGATAAAAACGTTGGAATTCCTACTATTAGATAAAAAAAGTTTAAGGAGTTATATTTTGTAACATAACAGGAAACGAGATATCTTATATTGAACTCACAAAATTTATGTGGGCCTCATTATTTAAAAAAAAAACAAGTGGCACATCTTTTCATGTATGTGCAAGACAAAATTGATCTCTATTTTAAGGGAATTTGGATCCTTTTATATGAAAAAGTGGTCATTAATTATATTATTTAATCATAATTACTCATTTTAAAATCATATAATTTTCTCTCTCTTATCTCATCATCAATAATTATGATTAAATAACATAACCACGTGATTACTTTTACGCATACAAAAAATCCAAATCGAGATATGGAGCGCAGTTCATGCAAATCTTAATATTGTGCAAAAGATACATAGAGTTGGCAATGGTGGCAAAATCTTCCATTTTCTTTGTTTGAGCGTCCAACACAATTGCATTGAGGACCATATTAATTGCCACTTCTAAATGAAAATGACCCATATCTTTAAAATGTTTTTGTTTTTAATTTAAAATGTCTTATATAAATAAATTGATAGCGCTATAAAGCAAAAATAGAGGTAGAAATAAAAAAAAGTCATAATGATTTTTATTTTTTTTTTAATTTTAACCCCCCCTGTTCATCTGACTTCTTTAAACTTTCCGTTGTCTCTATTTGTTTGTTTAGTGTGATGTATAAGGTTTGATAGTATAAGCTTACACTATACGTTATGATATTTTTAGTCGGTTGATGTGACCATCGTATAGTATAAGCTTATACAGCAGAACCCCTAATACATTAAAATGATGTATAACTTAACTAATATATCAGTTCAATACTAATATATTAAAATATTTTTTTTTAATATATTAATTTTTAAAATATTGAAGGATATTATCTTATACAATACAATACCAAACGCTGGATAATATTAAAATTTAATATCTTATACAATCAGGACATGTTTGGTGGGTTTTTGACCCTTTTGCCCCTAATTAAATAATTAATAACCAATTTGCCCCTCCCCCAGAACTATCCACCATCCTGCCCCCATTTAGTCGATTATGTTGCACTTTTAATCGACTAAATGGGCTAAACTCAGAAATTATGAAACGTGAATTTTAGTCGACTAAAAACTCACCTTAATCGACTAAATTGTTTGCACTTTTAGTCGACTAAGCACATTATTTAGTCAACTAAAGATCGCGAAAAACCCTATATCCAGACCTCTCTTGGGCTCATTTTCAAAATATTCGAAATCAAAACTTCTCTCTTGGTCTCTTTCTCTTGTTTGTCAGCTGGGAACCTTCCAATCACCCTTCCATTTCATCCCACCACCTCTAAGACATAGTAATTGTGAAATCATTGTCATTTTCCTTTATTTCTCAATTGTTTCCCCCAAATCCGAACCCTAACCCCTAAAAACTGATTCCTACCCCCAAAATTCGTGTGAAAGATGAGCTCAAGTCCAAACATGTATGTTACCATGATTTACTATGATGGAAAGCATTATGAAGGCCCCAACGGTGTTCAATTTGAAGGAAAAACGAAAATGTTGAAAATCAAACGGGGCACTACGTACAATGAGCTGAAGGGGAGGATTAACCAAAAATTGCGGCTACACGGCAGCCATGGCGTTCAACGGATGATCGCCAGGGTAGAGTCTACAGTTGGTAAGGATGCTATATTCTACATTGGTAATGATATATGTGACGATGAAGATGTGGATTGTGTCATAGATGCAATTGTGGACCGAAAATTTCAAAACTTTATTGAGATATATGTTGAAATAGACTGTGGTCAATCTTCATCTGCACCTGTGCATGGAAGAAGTCAAAGTCAAGAAGACAGAGTGGTCGGTTTATCTGCACCTGCACCTGTCTTAAGTCAGATACCACTGAGGGAAATAGACGAGGATGAGGATGGGCATGACGAGGATATGGACAGTGAAGACGATGGTGAACCCGAGAGTGTTATTCCGCTGGGTGACACCTCAGATACGGACGTAGAGGGGAATTTTGACGCTGATACTAGTTCAGGAAACTTGAGTTCCCAGGTTATGCCACCGCTCCGTGTTGACCCGAAGTACCATGTCAGATAGCCCACATGATGAGAATGTCATGCTCCAACACCCTGGAATGATTGAACGCTCGCGGAAACAAAATGTGGGTGATGACATAGTGTAGTATGCATGACTCCACAGTAAGCAACCCCACCGTATAGGCAATGTGTTGCCCACAGACTCTCCTCTGCTCCTGCACGGCATCACCGCGTGTATATCCTGGAAGTATGGTCCTGCTGTCTGCGTCATATTCCACAGTCTGCGCAGAATCAAAGTCATACCCCAGTAACTCCAACCATACCGGAGCCGTCATGATGATGTCCACCCTGCAGACCCTAGACCTCAGCTCACCGTGATGGTAGCTGAGATTATGGTAGAAGGCCCGTACATGCAGCTCAGAATATGAACACGACAGTTCAGCCAAGGTCCTAAGATGTGATTCCTCCAACCACCTCACAATGTTAAAACCTTCTTATTCAGAAAAGGCTGTATCAAGTGATTTGGCCCCACAAATCGGTCGGTTAACAAAGTCACGGACAAAAGATTCATGAACCACCGGGTCATTCTCGAACAAGTATCCGAATGGGAGGTCCACAGCAGCGGGGTCTTCCTCTTGTGGCCTTGACGAAGACGGATGGTCTTGTCGTAGCTTTTGTCGTCTCTCATTTCCAGTGCTAGACGATCTTCTACGGCCAACCATGGGAACAACTGTACCTACAATGCAAGTGGAAACAAAAATCAATGAACAATAACAATATCAAAAAATTTAAAATTCAATATAAAAAACAAAACCTAATCCTAAAATAAAACAAAAATCAGAAACCCAATCCCTAACCCTAAAACAGAAACAGAAACCCTAACCCTAACCCTAACCCTTACCCTACACCCTAAAACAGAACACAAAAACCCATTCCTAACCCTAAACACTACAACCCAAACAAAACAGCAACGTAAACCCTAACCCTAACCCTAACCCTAACATAACCCTAACCCTAAGCCTAAGGCACCACATCAACCCTAACCCTCACCCTCACAACAAACTTAGCACCCTACCCCTAACCTAAATCCACAAAACCGCAAACATAAATCAAATGCATGAAGAAAACCAAAAAAAAAACTAAACTTAAAACCAAATGCAAGTCAGAATACGTTACCTAAATGTCGATTTCGCAAGTGTGAACCAAGGAAGCTTCAATCGTACCTTCAAGGGTTGAGATTCGGACTTGGTTGGAGAGAGGGGACGAAATGCAGCCTTTTAGTCGATTAGGGTTTGAAAATAACCCCCTTTGCGAAATGGGGTTTTTTTTTAAAAAACCTGATCTGCGACATTTAGTCGACTAAATAATGTGCTTAGTCGACTAAAAGTGCAAACAATTTAGTCGATTAAGGTGAGTATTTAGTCGACTAAAATTCGCGTTTCATAATTTCTGAGTTTAGCCCATTTAGTCGATTAAAAGTGCAACATAATCGACTAAATGGGGGCAGGATGGTGGATAGTTCTGGGGGGAGGGGCAAATTGGTTATTAATTATTTAATTAGGGGCAAAAGGGTCAAAAACCCCATGTTTGGTACACAGTATAGGATAATGTTTGATAGTATAAGACTTGATAGTATATGGTCTGATTGTATAAGACTTGCTTAAATTTTAAGGGCTCGTTTGGTGGACAGGATAAGATAAGGGTAGGATATGATATGATATGAGGTTGATAAGAGTATGATATGATATGGGGCTGATAAGCCGATATCATGTCATGTGTTTGATGAGCTCCTGATTAGCAATCTAATAAAATTATGTAGAAAGAAAAAGGAGAGTGAAAAAACAAAATATAATGCAATAAATACAAATATATTGGGTAGCATGAGGATATATTGGGTAGCGTGGGGATATATTGGGTATCCAATATTGGTATTCTATCTTGTTGAATCATAACCTAGCTCCCCCCATAGGATAAGAAATCATGTATTAAATAGGATAAAATAAGTCAATAAGATAAGCTAATCATATCCTATTGACTCATCAAACAAGAGATAAAAGTAAGATATAATAAGTTATCCTATCCTATCTTCTTTATCAGGTGCTCCAAACAAGCCCTAATACTATCTAGCGTTTGGCATGATATTGTATAAGATAATATCATCGAGTGTTTGATAATGCACTATATAATACTAGATAAGATAAAAATAAATATTTTTGACAAAAATACCTTTTTATAATGAATTTATATAATTCTTCCAAATATATCAAATGATATTAATTTTTATAGAACTCTATTCATCAGTGTGTCTAAAAAATATATTAATTTTTATAAAAATAAAAATCTCCAATATTTTTAAAATTTATATATTGAAAAATTATTTTTTATTTTAATATATTAATATTAAAATAATATTATTAATTATTGAGAATTGCATTGGTTAATACATCAACCCATATCTAATCCACCCTCGTAGGCCTGATTAAGTTATACTTCATTTTGATATATAAAGGGATCCTGCTGTATAAGTTTATACAATACGATAGTCACATCAAAAACTAAAAATGTCATAACATATAATATAAGCTTATATTATCAGGTCTCATACATTACACCAAATAGGCCCTCAATTCTTATACTATCAAACCTTATCTTATACAAAAATGCCTTTAATCACTTTCACTTTCGGGCTAACTTTCAAACATGGGCTTTTCGCCTATTGGTATGAAAGCCCGTCAATAAAGCCCAAAAGCCCAGAGCAATTCTCGTGGCTGCAACGATAGAAGCGTTTTGTCTCTGTTCAATCAGAACTTGTTATTTTCTCTCTCTTCCTTGGATCCTCAGTTCCAAATCGAGCTTCCATTTCGTAAGTCCCTGTTCCACTTTCTCTTCCATTCCTCAATCCTTTTATCTATTTGTTTATTTATGAATGTTCAGCTATAACTGTGACTCGGATCTACGACTCACTTTTGAATTCTGGGTTTTCCAATTCTCATCTTTGTGAATCTATTTGCACGTGTAACCATTGGAACATATTGCCCCATTGGGATTGCGAGTGATTGTGTTTTGGTGATGTTGGTTTATGCCTGAGGTTGCTGCATTTCATGTTTATGTCACACTCTCTCGCCCTTAGATTTTTATTTTTTTATTTTTGGTTGTTTGTGTATTAGTAGTAGTAGTAGGAGCAGCATATTTGGGCCTGAAATTCCACAATTTGTGCATGTGAATGAATTAAAGTCACTGTTTTTTATCTATAACGATTACTTTCAAATAGTTAGAGTGTTTTAGTGGTACTGTTATTTATTGGCGAGGTCAATTTGTGAATTATGACGTATGCAACTTTCCTCGTATCATTATTATTAATAATAATAACAATATAATAACTCCCCATGAAATCCCGAATTGGGAAGGTAGCGGTGAGAAAATCTTTATCCTTACATTTTGCAAAGAGTTTGTTTCTTGGTTTAGAACCCATAACTTTTTAGTCACATAAAAGCAGTTTTACCACGACTGCAGGCTTGTCCTTGTAAAAACGGCCTTTCGGTCATTGTTGTCGTTGTCATTATTATTATTATTGTTATTATTATTATTATATTTTGGGGTTAAATCGTGAATGAGGAAATGTTGGGTAAGATTTGGTGTAAACTTAATGAAGAGTGTGGGTACTATTAGAAACGTGGGTCATTGGCTTCTTATATCATCTTATCATATTTTACCCTCGTCTTGGGGTCATATTTGTTGGTATCATGGTATGTGTTGTACAGTGAACATTTGAATGAAATTTGTTTGTGTTCATTATGCTTGAAGTTCTAGGATTATGCTCTCTCTGTCTTTGCGTGCATTCTTGTACTTTTGTCTATCTTGTCTATTTCTTCATCATCCTTGTTGTCAATCTGTTTGCACCAAGAATTAGACTACGTGCCTATTTATAGAATGTTCAAAGCAATTTTTCTTGATAGATCATCTCATCATAATCTAAAATTTAAAACTTGTTAGAATTTTTCCTGGCAATTTTCATTTTAGGGTTCAGTTTTCATGTTTTTTTATTACAGAAACAGTTGGTAATTTTAGCTTTTGGTACTTTTTTGGTGATTCTGTCTTTGTCATTGTCCTTATGCTTATTTATAGAACTTTAACTATAATACTTGGTTGCATGTATACTTATCTGTAATCTTTTTTATATGAACGATTGTCAGTGTGGACAGAGATGGCTGGAGGTGTTATTCAGCAGTTATTGAGGAGGAAACTCCAATGTTATTCTCCTGTAAGCATTAGCCCCTCTCTTCAAGATAATTTTATATTTTTGGGGGTATTTTCTTTCCTGGTCCTTGCAGCCTGGGACTCAAAATGGAGATCCATAGACTAAAAGTTAGGGATTGGGAAAAGAAAAATGATTTTCTGTTATTCAAATTTAAGGGAAAGGGAATATTGTTTTTCTGGGAAGATGTTAGAGCTGTGCATTACCTTCTCTTATATTGCTTATTTGAGCAATACTGTTTTCTAATTTATCCAACGTATTTCTAGTAGGGTTAGGTTAATGTTACAATACAGTTGAAAAAGATTGGCTATATCCTGCTAAATTGCTAATTTATAAAAGAATTTTATCAAGTTTGCCCCCAAAGTCATAGGTATAATAGACTCCACCATAGCATTCTCATGCATACAAAATATTCCAACCTGCAAATATTCAGTTGAAACTAAAATGTTTGTAGTTGACCAACTTGTAGATATTTTAAGTCTTAAATGAGCATTTGATGATAGACGAGAAAAGATAAATCAATAAAAAAGGAAAAACTCTTGACATTCAACAATAACAATGATCAAGCCTTATTCCACTATGTGGGTTGGTTGGCTACATAGATCATTTGATACCACTAGGTTCTATCAAAACCAAATTTTTAATAAATTCATTTGGAGTGAAGTCTTTTTAAATGGTTTCTCCTAAAGTTTTATTATTTCTTCTTTTATCCATTTTAATCATTAAAATGTTCTATTTGATCCATTTTCTCACTGGAGCCTCTATTGGTCTTCTTCTCTCGTTCTCAAACCACATTATGTGAGTTTTTGTCATCTTCTCCTGAATAAGTGCTTCTCCAACTTTTAATTAGTTGCATTCATATCATATCCTGTATTTTCTTGTATGTCCAACATCCACTTGAGAATTCTATATTCACCACACTTGTTTTTAGCAGTTGTTAATACTCAGCTGCTCAACATTCCGTAATCTTTACCATAAAGCATAAGTGGTCTTATAGCGGCCATCAATTTGTAAGATGGATTTAACATACTTCAATTGTGCAATTTGTGGTATGAGTCGTATGACTATGATGTGATCCCCAATTTTCATCTCCAAAACATTCCTGATTTGTGTATTCCTGAATTTGCATACTGTTCCTCCGTCTTACTTACTCCTACTTAAATGAAACCTTTTCATTCCAAGGCTTATCACTGCAGCTTAAATTTATATATTTATTTATTTAATTATTTTTGCTAGAATTTTTTCTTGAAATTTACTCGTCTTCAATTAGGACCATAGTTGTCAATCCTAGATAGTGGCACGAGTGACTGACCTCAAAATGCTGTAGTGGGATAGTTGATAGTAGGATGGCCGAGTAATTTATACCACACATATAACTACTATTTAAACCTCGATTAGCAAGGGTGGGTAAAGGCAATTCTTGTACGCAGCCTTTCCCCACACATATAGATGCTCAAAAATAAAAATAAAAAAATCCCAAAATTAAGGACATATTCATCAACATCAACAATACTTTTATCCCAAACTAATTGGGGTCCGTGGTAGATGAACCCAAATGAAAGTTAAGAAGGGATAAAAATAAAAATAAATAAAGGGAAAAGTGTTTGTCTTTTTAAATGACACAACTTTTGTCATTTCACTCTCACAAAGAGGTGGGACCCACACTTTTAGTTTTTTTGTCCACTCTCTCTCCTCCTTTATCTATCTCTTTCTCTCACTTAAAAGGACACAACTTTACATCCTTTAAAATGACACACACTTTTCCCATAAATAAAATAATAATGGTATATATAAAAATAAAAGGGGTGTAAAAATAAATAAATAAATAAAAAGAAAGATGGGGAAGGGGAAAAGAGATAAAGGAAAAGAAGGGGAAAGAAGAAGGAGGGGGGGGGGGGGATGAAGAAGAAAAAGACTAAAAATGGACTATCTGGAACATAAGAATAACAACGGGTCTAACCCTCCACCATGCTGATGACTTTTCTCCATTCCGTCCTAAGGCACACCGTCCGCCAATCTATATCTCACTCCATTAAGTCTTGCTTTACTACCTCTTTCCAAGTAAGTTTCGGTCTACCTCTACCTTTCTTTGTGTCAAGCTGTTGGTAACAAACTTTTGTTCTTACGGGAGCATTCAGGGGCCTTCTCATTACTTGCTCAAACCACCTCAATCTATGTTCTTGTAAGCCATAGGTCTTTTTGTAGTTTGCCCAATTGTGTGTGTCCCCTGTATTCTTGTAGATAGGTATCAAATTGTTCCTCCTCCACTGATCTATCATTTTCTTAGACCTCATTATCTCATTGAACAACTTAATAAGCTAAGTTATACCCTTCCACCTTAAACACTTCCAAACTTCCATACGTCTATTATCTGGTTAAATTGCTTTACAATTGTTCATCTTCTTTAGCCCTTTATTTAGCTTAAATTCTTGAATTCTATGTTAAATGTGTAATTTTGACTATGCGCTTTTTGGTGTTTAAACTCTCAAAGTCTGTTATTGTTGCATGCCCTTCCTTAAGTTGTTTGTAGAAATAAATCTTCCATCGTTTCTTGATATCTTGCTTAGTTGCACCAGAGTAGTCTATAGTGTACTATGCCAGAGCAGAGCAGAGTGGCTTGAGGCTGCTACTAGGTGCCAGTCACACTGTACCCTTTGCACCTGCAATTGTGACTGCTATAGCAGCATATTGCAGCCATCGTGGCTGCTATACTAAAACGGGGGTGTGAATATTCATCTTTGCCCCCATTTTGAGTTTTCCAACCTTTTTTTAAACATTTATGTGATTTCCTCTCTATATTTGGTGTCAGAAACATTATGGGGGATTGTAACCCTTCTTCCTGATCATTCATGCAAAAAACACTTAAAGGCTGGCCTCTGTTTTGAACTAACCCGTGACCCATTCTGGCATTGTTTCCGGCCAAGCTTGGCATTTTCTGGCACACCCATTATGCGCTGGCTACTGCTTACCAATGGGTCTCTGTTCACTCCCTCCCTGTTTGGACACCCCTGCTGCTCACCCCCGTGAGTCTCCGTTCATGCTGGTCTCTGTTCAATTTTTGTTTCTATGTTGTGTTGTGTTCTTCACCCTCACATGCCCCCCACTGGTCAATTTTTGTTTGTGTTGGGTTGTGTTCTTCGCACTCATGTTCCCAAACTTCACATAGTTGATCCCAAGCCCTTGTGAAAGAGAATTGTTGTGTTAGGCAGTTAGCAGCCAACATTGACCTTTATCGAATCTTTTATGACATGGATCAACCATAAGATTGTGCTAAAAATGATAAGTTTCTAAAAATTTGAATTCCCCTTGGCATTATGTGTTGCATCCATGTGTTTTATCCATTTATCACCAGTCTGTGTCTTGGTGTAGCTTTTCTAGAAGCATATCATACTTTTGCAATTTCGCGTTGGTGTTGTTGCTAATTATACTTAAATCTTTGCAGACTCTTTTGAATTAAATTGTTGCTGACTCAATCTTCAACCACTATTGAATTGTAAATTATATTAAGAGTTTAAATTTTATCCTTATGTTGGTGTAAAACTTTTTACTCTATCAGTAAACAAGAAAGTCATCATCATTGTAGATTTATAGTAATTAAGACTTTCACTTGCAGAAAAATCTTTCAACAGGTCAGGTGGCATCTATGGTTCACTAATACTATAAAACTTTTCACACTATTAGTGGATAAAATTAAATCCCTAGTAAATGCAAATCTCTGACTTTCAATTACAGTCCATCTAACTTATCTTAGAAGTACTTCAGATGATGTCCTAGCTTTAATTCTTCCCTCTTTATAGGGGTGCTGTGAACTTGAGTCCAAGTCCAATTAATGGGAGTTATCTTCCATTATAGGCTTATAGTTGTTGTTTGTCATATAGGAAAGACCATTCTGCAGACTGGTACATACATGTGCATGTCATAAAGTTTTGATGAGTTTATAACAATATGCCGCGTCTTATGCTGATAGCTGGTTTATACTTAATGCAGAATCCTTCTTTTATATCGTCCATTATCACAAAGAAAGATGGTACTGACTCTACTGGCAGCAGCTCCTTAAGAGCGCTTGCATTAATTGGAGCTGGTGTCTCAGGCTTTTTGGGTTTTGTGACAACAGCATCAGCTGATGAAGCTGAGCATGGCCTGGCATGTCCAAGCTATCCATGGCCTCACAAGGGCATCCTCAGTTCATATGATCATGCTTCGTGAGTTTGATCTGATTTTCTATTTATTTTCCTTTCTATTTTTTTGGCTCAAAATATCATTTGAAGTTAGCAACTACATACACAAACTAGTCCCTGTTGCATTTTTAAGGTGTATTACTAATTGTTAATTATAGGTACATGTTTAGTTTACTTTCTTTTTGTTATATAGTCCTTATTTCATTTTTCTCAGTCTTCCTCTCTTGCTTTGTAATGTCTTTGAGATGATGTGATCTGACATGGTTTAAATCTTGTGCGTGTTATATCTGATTACTAATATTTATTGGGCATTGTTTTATCTAAGAAAAATATAGTTCATTGATTGCTAGAAATAGTTGCAATTCTAAATTCTTCAATAAAAGTATTTACACCCCCTCTTTTAGGTTCATTTTTATGGTGAATCTGCGTTCTGTTCTATGGCATCATCATGTATTAACCAATTTTAACGTGAATGCTATATAAACATGAATATAATTCAGGTGGTCTTAATACATTTAACTAATTTTCTACGAGCAGGATTCGTCGTGGTCATCAAGTTTATCAACAAGTCTGTGCTTCCTGTCATTCTATGTCTTTGATATCATACCGTGATTTGGTTGGTGTTGCTTATACAGAAGAAGAGGTAAAGGCTATGGCCGCTGAGATTGAGGTGGTAGATGGTCCTAATGATGAGGGTGAGATGTTTACACGGCCTGGTAAACTCAGTGATCGCTTTCCTCAGCCTTATTCCAACGAAGCAGCTGCTAGGTTTGCTAATGGTGGAGCCTATCCTCCAGATCTAAGTCTTATTACTAAAGTAATGTCGGTTGTCTGCTAGTAACGTCCTTTAGATTTTCTGCTTTACGTATACCAGAACTATCTTTACCATTTGTATTTTCAGGCTCGTCACAGTGGTCAGAACTATGTGTTTGCCCTTCTAACCGGTTATCGTGATCCCCCAGCTGGTGTTTCGGTAAATTCTTTTGTAAACATTTTTTTATTGTTAAAAATAATTTGTAGCTTTGAAATGTTGCGAGCACAGTCAATAATTATTTATTTATTTATTTATTTATTTCTTGCATACCAATGAGGAAAAATATGCATGCATTGTGGGCTGGGGATTATTAAAGAACCTTTGACATCATGCCTGGTTTTCTTTGCAAATCATTTTGCTGACGAAATTGATATTCGCCATTTCTAGATGAAACAGATTCCACATGTTTTAGACATAGTATGGTTAATTTGTGCGTGTGATATACACACTTTTGCACCTATATGTGATTCTAGGTGTTAGTTATGCTTGTATATGGATGATATTAACGATGGATGATGAACTTGCTTTGTATTTTCTCAACTATCTAATTCTCAACAAATACAAATTCATGATTTTTTTTGTCCCAATACCAGTGTGACAATACTGCGCTTAAAGTTAAACTTTGTTTATGGTTATCTTTTAAATAATAATGTAGATTAGAGAAGGACTACACTATAATCCTTATTTTCCTGGCGGAGCCATTGCCATGCCTAAAATGCTTAATGATGGTGCTGTTGAATATGAAGATGGTACCCCTGCTACAGAAGCTCAGGTACTTCTTTTGTCTGTTGAGGATTGGTTTGAGTAAATCTTATCACAAATGATTATCTATGAACTTAAGAAGAATGAAGCTATTTTTTTTCTCCTGTTATGCCTTGCTGCAGATGGGGAAAGATGTTGTGTCATTCTTATCTTGGGCTGCCGAGCCTGAGATGGAAGAGAGAAAACTGGTTTGTTTCCCTTCCTATCCTTTTCCTTCAAGATTAATGAAGAAAATATATCTTATTTTCTGAGGACATTGCTATTATATGCAGATGGGATTTAAATGGATATTTGTACTATCATTGGCATTACTTCAAGCTGCCTATTACCGTCGCCTTCGGTGGTCTGTTCTAAAGTCTCGCAAGCTGGTTCTTGATGTTGTCAACTAGCCACCTTCCAAGTATCATTTGCAACTTCAGGAAATATTTATTGTTGGCAATAATTTTGTCAGATGATTAAGTTATCTCATCATGTCAAATTCGTTGATGGAGTAACTTGAAGCGTGTTCTATTTTTGTTTGAGATAGAAATAAAGCTGATCCATATATGTGAGATATGTTACTTTTATCATTTTTTCAACCCGTTCTCAGATCTGTATTGTTCCATTCTGCGGGACCCCTGTACTTCTATTTTGATTCAATCTGGATTTTGATGGTAATTGACCTGTGACGGGTTTATTTTGGTTATCTTAAAAGAAAGAGAAAAGGTCACAATGTTCCTTTTGGAAATTAGAAACAAAGTTCTTTTTCACTTCATTACTATGGAGTTGTTATGGTCGCGGCTTAGTATTGATAATATATTTGTTTTGTAATGTGGTTTTATAGGGATAATAAGCATATTATTTTAAAGTTTATAAAAAATCAAATTTAACTTTTAATATAGGTGTTGCTTGGGATGGTACCCCATGGGCTACGGCTGAGACTTGGCCTTGTTGGCTCTAATCGTGATATGGACTAGCGACTCCATTATGGATAAGTTGTTCTATAGCATCACAGTTAAAAGTTTTTTTTTTATTTCATATCCAATTCTTCTGTGGTAGTTATAGAATTTTAGACTTGTCATGCCCCCGCCTTATATTTTAATGGGGGCGGTTTCTTCACTTCTGCTTGGGAGACTTGGAATGTCCTTGCTATTGAGGTATTAAGGGGGTGTACTTGTGATACTTTCCTTTGTTCTTTTGCTTTTTCAGTTTCCATTTTTATGTGGAAGTGATTGAAGTCTTTTTCTTCGGTCAGACTGCTCGAGGTTTGCTTGTGTTTCTTGTTCGTTCCCAGAGCTTTGAAAATCTTTCAGGCTGATATATTTATTAGCCCTGATGCTTTCATCCATGGTCAAAGCTTCTCTTTTTGCTTGGGATGTGACGTCCGGCCACTTGCAAGATTGTTCACACATACCAACAAAAGATTTTTTAACATGTTTTGTCCTCATTCGCACACTCCTTGACAAACTTTCCATGAGGTCAATCATCACAGAATTTCTCTAAATCAAGCACACTTAATTATGGAGTTCTTAAGTTATGGGTTACCAAAGAGTATATACATTTTGTTTGTATAGGTAGTACATATTATTTCCTTTAAACTATCCTCAATTATACAGTGCTATACTTGTACAGCTTCTAAATTTCTCTCGTTCGGGTGTTGATTAGATTCATTCATGTACCACTCAAGTTGGTTGTTCGTACCTCATCTCTTTTTGCATTAGCGCTCGTCAGCGCCCAGAATGTCACAAGGGAAGTGGTGAGTCTGCTTTGTTTTAGCCCAGCGACAAGTAGGCAGCGAGCCACCTTGAATTTTGTTGAGCGCGGCGAGGTAATCCTAAAAGGTTTCATCCTTACCTTCTTTGATTCACGGACAAGGTAGCCACCTTGAATTTTGTTGAGCGCGGCGAGGTAATCCTAAAAGGTTTCATCCTTACCTTCTTTGATTCACGGACAAGGTGTGTGATGAACTCGATTGTACTTTGTCAAGAAAAAGCATCGAGGCGACATGCTTTTCTAGACATCCCTGGGATCTCCTTCTTCGTCATAGGCATCCAGATTGATGGGTGTCTGAATCCCTTTACAATAAGAATTGCCAATATCCAATGCGTGAAAAGATGGTTGAAATAAGGAGAGGAAATCAAGTTTCCAATCGTGTTTTCCATATTCTATGATCCCATGGGCCTTTCTTTGCCATTGCTTACCTAGGAGCTTTTATTGATGACCAATTAGTTCACATTTTGAGTGTAGGCTCTTCGCCCATCCATTACCGCTAAATAAGGGTTGATGTGCAACTATAAAGACTTCGACGCTCAAGTCGGTATTAGAATTAGTTAGTGCTCATATGAGGATGAATGTGCATTTTAACCCTGTTTTTGTATACAAGTATGTGTAGCTTCCTCGAGACCCATGAGTCATTATCTTAGTGAGATAGGGCATGGGTTTTTGCAAAAACTTGTGAGAGGATTTAATAGTTGTACAGCTATATATGCTTTATGAGAATATTGGGGGAGTTAAATCATGTTGTGCATGTTAGTTTACAATATAGCAGTTAAAGTGTTTTGCCAATTTGGTCACTGTGCCACGACATTGATCGATAACAATATAATTTCTATAAACAAATATTAAAAATATCAATTTCAGTTTGCCTATATATGTGAAGTTGTTTATTGATTGGTTATGGGTGTGAGTTGTGGTGAAAAATATCATACTGATATGTGGTTTAGATTTTCTTATTTTGTAGTAATGATGAGCGATTCCCATCAAGTTCAAAAGGGTAATAGTTTGGGTAATAAATCCTTTAATTACCTGTTATCTGTTTATTATTTGCCCAAAAATTTAGTTTGAAGTTTGAAGAACATTGATGAACTATAATAATAATAATAATAATAATTTTCTAAATTTTTCCTAAAGCTTTGTCAAACATAACACTTTATCATTGTCTTAGATGCATAATGTATGTTGGGCTTAATAAAAAAGTATATTTTAAGAGAGTAAAATAGTCAACATACATTTCTTTATAATCAATATTGGAGTATGTAATGCTTAGGTTTTAGTAGCATCTCGCTTTTCCAAAATAATTTATGAGCAGGCACCATAAAAGTCTAATCACACCTTTAGGTCCGCTAGCCGAATTATAATTTTCCTACCCTATAAGGGAGCAAATATTGCACGCTCCCGGCCCAATGAACCCTGAGAGAGAGGGGGATGAGGAGAGAGGAGAGAGGAGAGAGGGAGAAAGAAAGAAGAGAGAGAAAGGGACCACTGAATTTATTTCCCCTAGAAGGGTCATTTTCGTGACACAATGGTTTACAGCCACATGATCTAGTCTTCTCAGATGTAGGCCCCACCCATTAGATTTGTTCCCCATATTATTCTAAATGAAGGGACCTTTCCTCTCCTTAGCCATCTTGACTTCTCTCCCATCAATCAATTTAAGAAAATGTGAAAGCGTCGCTCTCTATGAGAATTGTGCATTCTAGGGTGTGAAATAGGAGAAAAGGAGTTTACGAGTTGGAACGAGAGAAGAATGGTAAGAAAAAATAGTAACATGAAGAGGAATAAAAAAGATGAAAGCAAGCACTATCCTTCTCATCCACATTCGCCTCAAATATCATCAAGTATATCCCTAAATTTCTCGAATTTCTTTTAATTATTTAATTTGATTGAATTTTTCTTTCACTTTAATTTCTTATTCGTACCGATAAAAATAGAGAAGTAAATATTTTCAATTAACATATAGATGTATCTAGGTATCCTTATATGAATATTTGGTGAAAGGAGTAAAGGAGGTGTTTTAGCCTACTTTTTTTTTCATAATTTCTCTTATAGAAAAAATTGTTTTGCTATTTGTTAAGTAATCATTGGATGAATAAAGTGCAAAGAATTTTTATTGACTTAATTTCTCCTTGAGGGAATGGTTCTAATATACAACCAATTAGATACAAAATAAGAAAACAAACCAAATACAAAAAAGCAATCAAATCAATCCTATTTAAAACAAATCATATTTGATTTGATTTGAAAATTTCCCCCTAAATATGATAGAATCTTTAGAATTTTCCACAATCCCTCTTAAGGTGGGATATATATGTGGATCATTCCCAACTTGCGAATTAAGTCTTTAAAGGTCACTTTGTGTGCTTTTAGTGAGATTGTCTATGGTTTGCTCCCTGGTAGGAACATATGTCATATGCATACTACCATCATCTAATATTTCCTTGATGAAGTGGCAGTCAACTTCCACGTGTTTGATCTTATTATGATGGATATTGTAAGAACCCACACCGTTAATTAAGGGATTTAATTAATTAATTATGTGAAATTAGGAAATAATTCCATAATTGACCCTAATAATTATTATGAGGCTTTAATAATTATAATTAGTGAGTAAGAATGCTGAAAGTCACTTTTCTGACGAAAAGTGCGGATACCAGTTCTGCTAGTTGGTATAAATGCATACCGAAAAAGTATTCTGGAAAATTATAATAAGTGCATGATAATTACTAGAATAACATGTAGGACTTGTAAAACGAGTTTCAAGTTAAAATAATGACAACTGGTTCCAGAAACTGGTACTGGCTATGAAAAGCGCGTACCGGAAAGGTGCTCCGAAAAATATAAGAAAAATATGATAATTCTTGTAAAAATGAGTGGTTTCAGATTCCAAAGTTTGGGATTAAAATGATAAACGTAGCTATTAACGCTAATACTGCGCGATTAACTTAAGCGCGCCTATAAATACAAGGGGCACACACTTCTAGGTCAGAATTTGAAGCCTTCCTACGTGAGTTTCTGATTTCCCTTGGCTGCCACCTTCTTCTCCATTGCAAAGTTGGAGCTTTTCTTCATTTTTAAGCCAAAGACTCCACCTTTTCTTCTTGAAAGCCTTTCTCCATCATTGGGTGAGCTTGTGACAAGCTTTGGGGAAGTGGGGAGAGTGTTCTTGTGAGCTCAAGGTGCTGTTTTTCTGAGTGTTGGGGGCTGCCTCCTTGGTTGTGGGAGTGTGAGTGAATTTCACCTCCATTGGAGCTTAAAGAACCAAGCTTTGGAGGAAAAGAACTTACCTTTGTGTGGTGATTTTCGTGCACCACTAAGGCAGAGGCTTGGGGCACTTCTTTGAGCATTAAAGGCTCTTCTTTTCTGAGTTCAAGGACCCCATAGGTATACCTTGAACATTCCCTTTGAAATTTCTTGAAAATAGCTTGTTTATGTCATGAAAAGAGGTAACTTTGATTAATCATGTTAAAGGTTGTTAATCTAAGGCTAATAAGTGTAAATGAATATCTGTTTTGAGGAAAAACCGGACTTGGGAACCTTGGGAGGCCATTGGAGCTCGGATTATGCAGAAAAATCTGCATTTTCGCGTTTCTGCACAGGTGGTAATCAATTACCTTTGAGTGGTAATCGATTACCATGAAGGGTAATTGATTACCCCTGTATGGTAATCGATTACCTAGTGCAAATGTGACAGCAACGACATAGTTTAGTAAAATTGCGATATCTCGAGCTACAGAGCTCCAAATTGAGTGAGGTTTGGACCTATGTAAAGCTAACACATAGGGATACAACTCTGTAAAATTTAGTAGCCATTGGATAAGTGGTTTGATATCAGTGTCATTTTGAAGTCGCATTTTGGTTGCTGGAAATTCCGGTTACAACAGTCACTTTGCGTAAAGAATAACCGGAGTTATACAACTCCGATTGAGGCGTATAATATGTCGTTGTA